TTAGGATATTCAGGTTAGATATTTTATGTGAAAATAAACCCAAATCTTGTGTAAAAGAACAAAATTAAGGAGAAGAAAACTTTCACACTAGTCTAGTTTGTTTAAGGATTTACTTTAGGGTCATTATCAGATTCTTAAAAACTCTTCAAACCTGTTGATGTCTTAATTTTTTAAAAACTGTAGCTGTATCAATTTGCATTCTTTGTTTCTACTCTCATATTCTGGCAAGCATCTCAAGTTTTATTAAAGGGCCGGCTTGTTTCAAGCGTGATGAGGTTACTGTCCTGGTGGGATCTCAGTATGTACAGCGAGTATAAACTAGGCAGCTCTGGAGTGAGATGATGGTTGTGATCCTTGTACTTTTCTCCCTCTTCTGTGTGTGCTGTTTTATGGAGCATTTATATCTGATTGTGGGCTGAGCCTTGGGCTCAGTGCCAAGGTTTGTCAGTACCTGTTTCCTCACACCTGCCTTGGGACTGCCCTACTTGTCCCAAGAAAAGAAGTTAGGCACTGAAGTTAGTATGTGAATGAAAGGGAGACCTGAAGCTGGAAGGTCGGCGGCCACCACTGACAGGCCATCTGCTTTCCCATTTCCCATTCCAGTGCACTGGCCTCTTGCTGTACCAGGCAGCCTGGTGACTGAGCCTGGACTCGGCCAACTGTGGCCAGGAGACTGGGGTTGGTGCTGGAACTGTTAACAGTGTAGGACAAAGTAAGGGTAGAATTTGGTGTAAGCATCTAGAAACCTCTATAGCAACTTGACAGTAATTTATGTTCACTGACTCTGATGATAGAAGTTTCGTGCTTAGCTTTTGTATGCTTTTATTTTGAAATTTCATTTTTCTAGAAATTCCTCTTTATTGTATTTTACAAAAGTGTTGGTCTGTGACAGGTCTGTGGTCCTTTACCACAGATGGCTGGAAGAGTAGGGGTCTAAACCACGTAAAGAAGCCAACTTTAAAAATCTTTTCATTTCCACGTCTTTGATAGTTTTTTGAAAAAGATATTCTGTAGTATGCATAAGTAGCCGATGCCTATGACTTGTTAATCTTGAAAGTTCTAAAAAATACAACTGGCCACAGATTACAGAGGGCTACAATTACAGAATCTATAAAAGCCTACCTCTCTGGTAAAAGAGGGGGAAGGGCTTTTGTCACTTAGAGACACAGAGAGTTGGCAGCCCCAATGGTACAGCTTTAGCCGTGGGTCAAAAACAAATAGAGAACCACACGAACAACAGAGAATTCTGTTAATTGTTTGGAAACAGAATAGTCAGTGTAGCAGAGAGCAACGCTTGGGACTTTTCATTCCGTAGTGGACACCGTCCCACAAACTGACTAATCCACGGTTTTGTGACCCAGATGCCAGGCTCTCAGAATCTGCAAGCCCATCATAAAGACAGACTTGGAACACCACCACCAGGGGAGTGGGTGGTGGTTAACTGACACACACACACGAAACTGTCCAGAAGGGTCAAGGAAGGCTCGCTGGTGGAGATGTTGCCAGTTTGAGAATTTATAGCACAGATCGGATTTTGACACATTCTGTTTTAGGAAAACTGCTTCGCTCTGGTGACATTACAGCAATGGTTTATCTTTTAAAGAATGTTTAGGCCTACTTTTTGAAGGTTTATGAAGGATTTTGCCATTGATGCTTAGTCACAGAGGTATATCCAGATTGTGTGTTGTTTCTGGTTTAGCTCCTCCCTTGACACGCTCACTACTATGTGTCCTGCTGACCCTTGAGCAGCGTGGGCCCCAGGGTGCCAGCCCTCCGCGCAGTCGAAAATCTGCATATAACTTGTGGTCAGCCCCCTGTGTAAGGGTTCCCCTGTATCTGCGGTTCCGCTGCTGGGGATTCAGCCAGCCAGGGATGGTGTGGTACTGTAGTGTTTATTTACTGTTGAAAAAATATGTGCATGTAAGTGGACCTGGGCAGTTCAAACGGGTGTTGTTAAAGGGTCAACTGTAGTGATTTTCCGTCACTTCATCACTAGTATATCATTTCTTCTGACCACTCCTGAGGAGTGGTGTTTCTTTTCAGGAAGCAATTGATAATATATTTATTCATCCTTATCATCTCATTTGAAGAGCGAAAGAGATAACTAAGATATCAGAAGTACAGCTGATTTTTTATGATCCAGCAACCTTGCTAAATTCATTTATTAATTCCATTAGTTTATCTATAGATTCTTACAAATTTTCTTTATACATAGTCATGTAGTAATGATGGTTTTATTCTTTCCTTCATACCCTGTGTTTTTACCTCCCTTTTTTGCCTGTGGAACCTGGCTAAGACTTCTGGAACACTGTCAAGTTAGGGATGGTGATGCTGGGCATTCTTGACTTATCCCAGTCTTGGGGGGCGGGACGGGGGGGAGGGACTCTTTTCCAGCAGTATTAATTTAAGTTTAATGTAGATACTTTCATTAGATTAAGGAAGTATTTTCCTATTTCTGTCTTGCTAAGAGTTTTTACTATGAGTGAGTGTTTGGTAAACTTTATCAGTTGCTTTTTCTGCATATATTAAGATAACTCTGGTTCTCCTTTCTGAAAATATGGTGAATTACATTAATTGCTTTTTTAAAATTAAGACTTTATTTTTCCTAAAGCAGTTCTAAGTTCAGAGCAAAATTTAGGGGAAGGTACAGAGGTTTCCCACGTGCCTCCTGCTCTGGTACATGCACAGCCTCCCCATTGTCAGCATCCCCACCAGAGCGGAACATGCGTTACAGTTGATGAGCCTGTAACGACACATCGTGATCACCCAAAGTCCGTCATTCCCATGGCGGTTCACTCTTGGCGTTGTACATTCTGTGGGTTTGGACAAACGTATAAGGACTCATATCCATCATTATAGTGACATATGGAGTATTTTCAGTGCCCTAGAAACCCTTTGAGGGTTTGAGTTCCTTGTTTGGCTAATAAGTTACTTGAAATACATTGCTTAATTTCCAGACAGTTGGGAATTTGCTAGTTACCTTTTTTTGTTTTTTTTTTTTCTGCGGTATGCGGGCCTCTCACTGTTGTGGCCCCTCCCATTGCGGAGCACAGGCTCTGGACGTGCAGCCTCAGCGGCCATGGCTCACAGGCGCAGCCACTCCGCGGCATGTGGGATCTTCCCGGACCGGGGCACGAACCTGCGTCCCCTGCATCGGCAGGCGGACTCTCAACCACTGCGCCACCAGGGAAGCCCCGCTAGTTACCTTTTTGTTGGAGTCCACCTTAACGCTCGACACAACACAGAGCATATGTACTCTCAGGAATTTTAGTCCTTTGATGTTTATTGGATCTTGTGCTTTCACCTAGCACGTGGTCAATTTTAGTAACTATTTCACCTGCAAAGATGAGTTGCTGTTGGGTGTAGTATGTTATATGTCAGTTAGATCGTTTATTCATCATGCTGTTCAGATCATCTGTATGCTGCCGAAAGGTAGGAGGGTGTATATAATCAGCTGTGCCCCTTGTCTCCTCTGTGTGTCTTCAACTTCCCTCTGCTTTCGGAGGTGCCCACTGGGCTTGGTTTCAGGACTGGTGGCTGTCGTCAAAGGACAGATAGCACCGTGTGTGTGTGTGTGTGTGTGTGTGTGTGTGTGTGTGTGTGTGTGTG